GCCGCTTACGATAATAGACTCAATTCATTTTGCCCAACTCGTGCAGAATTATCTCCAACCTAATTAGGGTATAGGGTTGAAAACTTGGAAGATCGCGTTTGGCTTGAATTTGGAAAGAAATCAAATTACATCCAAGATTTTTCCTTTTACACGGTTTAATCTAATTCTAGTATATTTTCTTATCTTTTAGGACTCTATTAGATAAATAGACGTGGCCTATAAATTAAAGACTCCTTTGTCAGTTTTAGATGAAGCATTATTGTCGTCCTATAAGATTCTCTCCATATTGTCGGTTTAATAAATTTCATCGTTCCTCTACTTAGTTTCTCGTTTTCTACTTTATTTTAATCTTGTTTTCGTGGTGCGATCTTGAATATTTTATAATTGTTATTAATCTCAATCTTGCATTGCCTTTGGGATCATCAAGTGGTATCAAAGCACGGGTTGTAGATTCTTCGTGATTTGGTTGAGATTTTTCAAGGATGAATTCGTTGAAGTATGAAATTTCGCTGCTGGATCGCAATACAAGATTTTTGCTGTGGCAAGTAAAGGTGAGGCCTGTGTTGACGCAGATGGATCTTGACAATGCTTTGCTGGATTTTGAGAGGATGCTAGAAAATTTGTCTACGGAGGAGAAACAACGGAGGGATCGAAAGGCTCTAGCACAAATTCATCTTCACTTATCCAACAATATTCTGCAGGATGTCTTGAAGGAGAAGACGATAGCTGTTTTGTGGCTCAAGTTGAAGCAAGCATTATAAAGAGTCAGACGAGCAAACTGACTCTAAAGCAGAAGTTGTATTCCCATCGTATTGCGGAAGGAGGGTTATTGCAAGACCATCTTGCTGTGTTCAAGGAGATTGTTACAGATTTGGAGACGTTGGAAGTAAAATATGATGAAGAGGATCTGGCCTTGATCCTGTTGTGTTCGCTACCCAGTACTTTTTCGTCGTTTCGCGATACTATATTGTGTAGTCATGATACGCTGACCATTGAGGAGGTATATGACGCCCTGTTCTCAAAAGAGAAGACGGAGATGTTGGTTGGAGATCCTACATTAGGGGTGGTGATGCTTTGGTTACTCATGGTGATTGACGGAGGTATAGATCGAAGGTGAGGTAGAGCAATGTGTATTATTATTTCTGCAAGAGGAAAGGACACATTAAGAAATATTGCGACAAGTTGCAGGGTAAAGGTAATTTACATGCAAATCATGTGGGACAATTAGGTAACGAGATTGACATTGTTGAGAATTTTTCGGGTGATGGAGATGTAATGTTGGCTGTATCTGATGGGGAATCCAAACCCGGGAAGTGGATTCTGGATTCTACATGTTCGTATCATATGTATCCCAATTGGGATTTGTTTCGGACATATGAGATAGTGAAGCAAGGTGGAGTTGTCATGGGAAACAACCAATCTTGTCGGGTTGCAGGAATCGGTCAGGTCATAGTGAGGCTATAAGATGGGACAATGAGGATACTTGATCAGGTTCGCCATGATCCAGACTTGACAAAGAATCTCATATTGTTGAGTACCCTGAATGCAAAAGAGTATAAATTCTCTAGTGGAGGTAGAGTCTTAAAGCTCTGAAGGGGTGTCTTGGTTATACCAGAGGGACGAAAGAAGTCTCAGTTGTACCACTTGCATGGAAATGCATAACCAGTTAAGAGACATTTGGACAAGTTTAGTACCGTGGTGGAAGTTCAGTTTGGTACGATATTTCTTGTGGCGAGCTCTGAGTTGTTAAGAACACTGCCAGCGAGAGCGTTGGTGATTTCGCTTTGCCACCAATTTTAGTGGATACACTGTGTTCGGTTGCTAGGGTTGGACTCATGGAGAGTAGGTAGGACGGTGTCAATAATGTCTGGAATGCTTTAGGGGACGTTGAAGGTGACAGTTCTAACAAGAGGCTTTCTGATCCAGCATGTGGTATGGTTTCTGCTACAGGGTGTGCTTCGACCTTGTTTGGTCAACAGTAACTCTTTGGTGGAGTTTTGGGAACCCAGGATTTGGGTTCGGGTGTCACTTGTGGACACCGTGCAGAGGACGATGGTTTGGTGATGGAGATTTTGGTTACTGTGTTGAGGAGATTGGTCAGTTCATTTTGAAGCAGATGGATTTGAAATTTTGGAGTTTCGTTCGTTGCACCGAAATTTTGAGTCAAGGTAGAGATTGTTAGGTTTAATGCCTCAAAATTGGGTTGAAATCTTGGAAGATCACGTTTGGCTTGAATTTGGAAAGAAATCAAATTACATCTAAGATTTTTTCCTTTTACGCGGTTTAATCTAATTCTAGTATATTTTCTTACTTTTTAGTACTCCATTAGATTTATGGACGTGGCCTATAAATTAGACTCCTTTGTCAATTTTAAATGAAGCATTATTGTTGTCCTATATTATTCTCTCTATATTGTCGGTTTAATAAATTTCATCGTTCCTCTACTTAGTTTCTCGTTTTTTATTTTACTTTAATCTTGTTTATGTGGTGCGATCTTAAATATTTCATAATTGTCATTAATCTTTGCATCGCCTTTGGGATCATCATATATAGCCTAAGTTGGGCTTTAGTTGGACCAGTAATAAGGTTAACCCGGCCAAGATTCAAAGTCATCCAAGAATATAACTGGGTCGAGTTGAGTCTTTGGAATATGGTTGTTGATAATTATTTCACTCATCAGCCGAGACCTATAAAATATATTTCAATGTTTAACATCATAGCTCGAATTTATTGGGTATTAAAATCCAACACTATGTAGCATTGGTCTAGGTGGCACTGGATCTTCCTTTAATTGTGTATAGAATCGAAACTTATCTCAACTTTATTGTGCAATCATAGTGGCTACTATTGATACTAGACTACTACTAAGCAATACTTGCACCCCTAGATAACATTACTTTTATTACGTGTCAACTGCTTTAGTGTAATCCTAGGACTTTATATATTGTTTGTCAACTTGACAAGGGCTCACAAAACATAGATGCAAAATCTAAAAATTAATTTAATATGCTAAAAGATAAACTCACTGTTCTCCCAAAACACTTATTTTGTCATCAAAACTAATCTGTATGAGGTATTATCTATAAGAGAAGTCAACATCACATGCTTCAAAAAACAAATAAATACAAGTTTCTTGATCGAGGGTATTTCGATTTTGTTTATTTATTATAAACTAATCTTTATAAATTATTTAAATACTAGAAGCAAATAGTGTACGCTCCTTGAAACAGTTACGTGTATTAATATCAAACCTCCCTTCGAACATCGACTTCTCAAGAGATTTTTACTTTCTTTTCATATCTGATTCTTTTGGAGTTTGCAAGCTTAGTTGAAGCACCTCAGTGGCTTTATATTTAAGCTCAACAAAAGAGTACATTACCTTCGCAGGAGTATTCTTGTATTCAAAATCAAACTACTACCTTCGAAAGTTGAGGTTCATTGGGTGTTTAACACGTGTCATCATCCTAACAGTCCACTAATCAAGCTCAACTCTGTCAATCCCTAGCTGTCATAGCTGTGTAGCCGTCTGACATAGGCTTAAAAGCAGTCACACTATACGCAGGTGGATGAGCATCCAATGCTCTATGTCTACAATTCAAAGTGCATTGAAATTGATTAAAAAAAGGCTCAGAGAACGACTTGGCATAGCAAAACTAAGCATATTGCTCTTGCAAGCATAATCTACTACATTTGGATGGCAAGGAATGTGAAGATTTTAGGGGACCTTAGACGACAAGGTGATAGCATAGTGAGACGAATCAAAACACACGTATACAAAATTATATTTTATTTGTATTCAATTGTTTTGATTCATTTTAAGTCTTTACCATTGGTTCACTAGATTGTTTCATTTGTTCATCTTTTTTTATCTTGTTTGCCCGGGTATGACCGGTAGTACTTATATTCGTCACTTGATCTTTGTTTTGTTCATGTATGCTCAATATACTTGTCCCTGAGTTTCGATCAATATAATTTCACATTTATCGATTAAAAAAAGCACCCACGCTATGCCTGCACTCACTAAAAAGTTGATTGAGCAACTTTACAACTATTAAATCTGTCAAATGTACGGTATTATTGGCAAGGCAACGCCTGTGAAAGATAGCTGTCATAGAAGATAACTTCTCTTTGAAAATGCATTGCATTAGGAGGGACGCTTACCTCGAAAATAACACTTCGAACAAGGCGTCTAAGGTTTTGCCCATTCGCCTTGAAGGCCACATGTGAATGGACGAAGCGATGTGGAGTACAACCTTGCGTGCCTCTTGCTTTGATTTTGTTTTGCTGACTGTCACGTGACCTTCCTTATAAGTCATGATGTAAACCACCTTCTTTGACTTGTATACAATATACATAAACGCAATATGTAATTCCGTGTCGATTTGAGTTATCTCTAATCACTGATTGTTAGACAAAAAGGGGAAAACATAATTACTAAAATGTTATTTCTTAGTGTACCAATTATAATTTTTTTCCCACCTCGTATTTTTATTTCTCCATCTGTCTACCTCACATTCTCATTGCAACATAAAATGCATAGCCATGCTTGTTTATTATTACAAATTATATAGTTTTCATGATACTATATGTTATGGTTTTTCCAACCAAACTGTAATCTGTATAACAGAAAAAATATTTTAATTCGTGTGTTTCTAATGCGGTGTAATTAATAAAATTTGTAGCTTGAATATAATTACCATATTTTTATTGAGTTTTGATTCTTTTAATAGCTTTGCTTCACTCTCAAGCGATATATCATATTCTCTTCAATTATTTTGTTAATATTCATTTCGAAATTTCAAAATCAACTACTATAGAGTTCATGTTTAGAATGCTTTATAGTTGGATTATGCACGTTAAAATCCTGCTTTACTCGTATGCTGATTAGAATGAGATTATACTCGAGTTGGAATTTTCTATAGGCGTCACTCAACGCATCGAGTGTTCATGCATAAATGAAGTGACGAATACTTGCACGGCAGAAAATTTTGCATAGAGTATGATAGACAGACGGAGCAAGTCCAATATTGTATTTAAGATCGTTGTCATTCATCGACTCCCCGTTCTCACATTTCTATACAGAATATGCATTGAAAAAGTCAGTGAGCCAATGTTCCAAAATGCATCATCTCCTCCACGAGAGTAATCTATTCCTAATTTTACGAAAAAGAAAGTCTTTCACATCCCAGCAAATATGCCCAATTTCCTTGCTTCGACATCTGATATAGTTAATCAAAAAGTGTAGATAGAGTTGCGATCGTGTTATCCAAGGAAGCACTTGCAGTAGCACGGAAGGGGAAGCTGCTACTCTCCCAACAACTTGTGTGCCAGAGGCCTGTTCTTAATTCAATGGACCAAAACAAAGAAATATAAGCACCATCCTGAGTTACGAAGTTTATTAGGATATTACAAAGCAGAAACTATAATTTGTCATTATTACAGAGTCATTTTCCTTCTAATGCATTTATGATCAGCACACAGCATTAAGACCATCATTAGAAATTCTAGTAAATACCGACCATTGAATTCTTGACATTTGCTCAAAATAATATTGCAAGTTTCCAATAAGAAACCAGTGATACAAATAGAGTCATTGTTGTCAATTAGAAATGAGAATGACCAAGAAGGTTCAAATAATTCGGTTGAGAAAATGTGATCAAAGTTTAAGACTGTAAGACAACAGTGGCCGATTACCATGTAAGATGACAAAAATAAAAAAGATAAGTAATTAACCGACCTTCTCCTCAACTATCAAGGAAACTATATTACTAAAATGACATGCTGCAGCATTCATCTCAAACAAGGATTTCCAGATCAAAGATAAATAACTCAAGTGAATGTGGTATAGCAACAGCATAAAAAGCACAAACTAACTCAAATCAGAAATTGTAATCAATCGCTCAAAGCCTATTTAAATAAAATATATTTACATGGCAAGATTGAAAGATCTACCTGTAACAAGGTTCCCTGATTTATTGCTGGTCGTTGAAGAGAAAGGTGTAGTCATCCGGTACATCACTAAAGTTGGAAGTCAAAAAGAAATTGGTGTCTCTAGATTCCCAAATTTAAGAATATATTTCAAACAATAAAGCAAAAATGGTGAAGCAAGACTGTATGTCATACCAGATTCTATCAAAAAAGATCTGGCCAGTAAGCACATCAACCAGATGCATTGGAAGTGAAGAAGTCACCTGTCTTTGGTCTTCAGGCATTCTTAACCCTGCATGTGAATAATAATATTATTTAATACTTAAAATGAGCAGAAACCAAAACGAGGAAGCTGATGTATACTTCTGACAGTATCAGATCATAATGAAGTTCGTAAGCTAGGGGTAGTTGTCCCAAAATAAACAATTTTTTGTATTCTTATTTCTTTATAATGAGTTTTAGAAATCTATCTTAAAAGTTCAACCGTTTAAGAGAAGTAGTGCACGCCATTTTTTGTAGAGTTAAACTCAAAAATTATATGATATTTTATTACAACATAAGATACAAGGCAGCTATCCAATATTTTATTACACAAATGTACCAACCCTCACCCACTGAGTACTCTATCGTCACTAGCTGTCACTTATCATTATGTCAAGTTCATGCACTCTTACACACAATACATGGACTAACCCATATATATAGATGCGAAAGTCAGTGCACACAATAGACTCCACTTTTCTCGGCTATTCTTATGACAATTGAATTAACATTATTTCTAGGTGATTCGTGTATGTTGACAGCTGATGAGTGTATTTCACTCATACTTTAGATACCATTTAAACTTAATATTTAGCTAATTCCTATGAGTTTTAGAGCTTTTTAATGTGTATTTTGATGTTGTGGTATAAGTTGATGAGATTGAAAAAAATAAGCAAAAGTTGGCAAAATTGGAGAAAATGGCTAAATTTTAAGAGATCCAAAGTTCGGGAATTAAAGTACAAATACACAAAAGTTGTGTCGGACCTCACGATGAAGATTCAAGAGTGCTCGGAGTCAACTGGATAAAGAAAGATGTCAAAGGGATTAAATATAATCAAAATAGGATCACACATCAAGTTCGAACCCAGAAAAAGCTATGCATCGTTTTCAGCCTCATATTGAATCCAAAAAAAGTTATGCATCATTTTCAGCCTCATATTGAGACTCAATTTTGACATAGAAAATGATCAAATTTGAAAATCATATCTAAAGCAAAGTTCTCCCTTTGAGTTAGTTTTCCAACGCATCCTGAATTGCCTCAATAGGATATTGGGAGAAAAAGTTATGATAAAAATACTGAAAGAATTATATTCTGATTTCGTACACGAAAGGTGGTGCCATAGCGCGGCCTGAGTGCGTCTAGGGTGCATTTTTTGCCCATTTTGAAATCTATAAAAACCTTATTTTCGACACAAACATCGAGACACATATAAATACAATTTTTTCACACTTTTAAAAGGGGAATTTCACACATTGGAAGGCAAGAACACAATTTGAGAATTAGAAAACAAATTCTATAGAAGAAAAACAACAATTTAAGGGTTGAAAATCAAGATTCAGAATGAGAAGAACTTGATATAAGATTCATCCACTCCTCCATATCTAAATTCAAAACCCAGTGATGGACTCCACTATTTTTATTTATTTTTCTTCCTCTATTATGATTAGCTAAAATTCTTGTTAGAGCGAATAATGTTACCTACTTGGGACTCTTTACATAATTTGTTTAAGATTCTTGTTCTTTATTCTTTCATGTGTTGATTTTACTATTACTTTAATGCATTGAATTACTTGATCAATAATTTAATGATTTTGTGAATCTTTTACTAATTGAGAGGTGAGTTTAGGAATTAGACTATATAGTAAAATCAGGTGAATTAAAATGTGGACCCCCTTTTTCCACTAATAGGTCACCCGCCGTATTTAGGACCCCGCTTTGTATAACGAGTAGAAATACCTATACTAATTACTGCGGTCAAAATTGAATTCCTAAGGCAAAGAATTCGTTTAACTAAGCTAGATTCACATAGAGATATGGAATTGAACTAATTAAATGGGCCCAATTAGAACTCGAGGGGGGTAAATTGAATACAATAGGAGAATTCAACCGAACACTACATTAAATATGAATCTTGATTTAAGATGTAAATGTGATCAATAAGTGAAATTATTTTGCCTTAACATCTATTTATTATTTAATTTCTAAATCAATCGTTTGTGCATCCACTTACTTTCTTGTATTTAGATAAAAAAATAAATCAAATCATACTAGTTTTTATTTGCTTCCATCGAATACTGGTTAGAAAAGAAATTAGACTAAGTGCTAAAGTATAGTTCTTGTGGGAACAATAATCTGGACTCCAAGTCCACTTACTACTTGTTACGATCCGCACACTTGCGGAAATAAAAATGACAATGATAGCTTTGGAAAATCTAGATATATGTAAATGGATGAATCTTGATTTTCCTTTTTCAAATCGGTGTTGTTTCTTCAGTTATTCCTTCGGCACTGGCTCATTAATTTTAACTTTTCTAATCTTTGCCCTTCTTCATCTCTTTTGTTGCATAGTTTCTTCAAACGTCATTAACTCATCATTTCTTTCGTACTCCCATCTTCTTCTACAACTGTGTTATTGTAGTTTTGAGTTGATTTTGAGTTGATTTTTGTCGTCTAGCAAACTTCCTTAAGAATGATTGTGGACTCATATATACATTGACCACTTCTTGTTAGCTTGTTGTATCTTCTCGTGATGTCTGGTATACTCCCATTTGCCTGATGTCTGGTATACTCCCATTTGCCATGAACTTTTATTTTCTCTTATATGCTCTTATTTGTTAATTGACTATTGCAGATCTCTAATTTCTTCATAACTGTGTAGTATTCTTGGATGCTCTTGTTCACTATTTGGCTCCATCTTATTATATTGATACCTTACTTCAGTACATTGCTAAGTTGTCATCTTGCAACTAGTCTTCGATCTCCATTCAACTTGTTGGCTCTATCATTTATGGTTTCCACCTGACGACGACATCTACTCTTTAGGCTTGTATTATCCATCTATTTTTGGACTTATATTACTCATGGGTTGGCCCAAACCCTGTCCTTTTTTATGTTTTATAGTTTCTATATATAGGACTTGTATTATCCGTGGGTTGCCCAGGCCCAATCTTTTTCTTATGTTTTGTAGTTTCCATATATAGGCTTTGTAATGTTTAGTGGGAGACAAAGATTTGATGCAATGAAATGATTTTGAGTGTTGCATACATTTTCGCCTTCCCTCTACTTCTCTTCTCTCCCTCTTTGTCCCTGCCTGTCTTCTTTAATGCAATTATCCTGTTCCTTCTAATGGTTTCTTCAATTCTACTTATTTTCTACAGTTATAATTGAGCTACATCA